CCCAGCCTCAGGCAACACCCCACGGGGATCCCCCATCCCGTGCAACAGCCTTGGGGTTCATTAAGGGAATCAATGGCACTAAAAAGCAAACAATGATGTCCCCCAGCTGGGGAGAGGGAGGCGCGGGTTTGGAGGACACCGGGACATGCAGAACGTGCCCGGTCAGAACGCAGGAGATAAGATTTTTTTGTTAAGAGCTGCCTCAAATTACACCCCCACACACACTTCACCCCTACTCGAGATTAGAAATAACGTACATTTGCAATTAAACAATCAATCACTACTAGTGAACGTGGCCCTAATTGCAGCCCCAGAGCCGAGAGGGGCAAAAACGCTGGGAGGGTTTTGGGGGGTGGATCATTGGGTAGATTTTAAATGCGGCATCTCTGAGGATTTCTATATAAAGTGCTCGTTTTTACCAGGCTCGTGGTGGAGCCGGGGCCGGCAGCTCCCACCCTGCACCCCGATTCCCCACATCTTGATCCAATTAACCCCCCCTCCCAAGGACGGGAATTAAGGCAGCACCTCCTCAACGGGTCGCAGGGCTGCTCTTGGACACTGAGTTTGATTTTTCCCAGCTGTAATTTAAACACCAGGGGCACTCAGTGGAAATCCAGAATTAAAATTAAAGCACACTTTAAGGAAAAAAAAAAAAAAAAAAAAAAGTATTTGTTTTCGTGACATTTCATTTTCCCTTCATTTTTCACCCAGGTGAATCTTGTGTTTAAACATTTCCCACCCGGTCTCTTTAAAGGTTTAAAGTTAAAATAGCTTTACATTTCCATTTACAAAAGAAACATTGTGGGTTTCCAATATTGGGAAACCCCACAGTTTAATTTTGTGCGGGGGCCCTTAGATAACACCCAAGCCCTGAGAAACCCCCGTGGGGCCGACAGCAGTGGCGTGGGGGGGAGGGTCCGGCCCAATTTGCCCTTGCACCGCAAAAATGGTCAATTTGTCTGATAAAATGAAACCAAAATAGAGAGGAAGAAAGCACCAAAGTGGGATTTTTTTTTAAAAGACACCTTTCAAATCGTGGCAATACCAGCCCCCCCCACCTCGCTCTGCTTTTGTGGGTGATGGGATGCCCGAACCCCCTCCCACCAAGT